GGGGGTCTTTGGGGTATTTGGGGTTCTGGGGGTCTTGGGGGTTCTGGGGTCTTTGGGGTCTTTGGGGTTCTGGGGATCCTTGGGGTTTCTGGGCCCCTGGTGGTCCTGGGGGTTCTTTGGAATATTGGGAGTCCTGGGTGATCTTGGGGGTCTTTGGGGTTCTGTGGGTCTTGGGGGTCTCAGAACCTGGAGATCTTGGAGGCCTTTGGTGTTTTTGGGCTCCTGGTGGTCCCGGGGCACAGCAGCCCCCTCCCCACTGACCCCGCTCCCCTTTCCCCCCAGACGAGGACTCGTTCCCGCTGCTCCCGGTGCTCCTGGGGGTGCTGCTGCCGGCGGCCGCGCTCCTGGGCCTGGCCGCGCTCCTCGTGCTCCGCTACCGAGCCAAGATCGGCGAGTACCGGCTCTGGAGGCGGCAGCCGCCGCCGCACGCGCGGCCCCTGCGGGCCCCGGGCAGCTCCCGGGCGGCCGCGGCCGCTCCCAACGGATCCGCGGCCCCGTAGGCGGGGAGGGGTCCTGGAGGGGCCGGGACCCCCTGCCCGTCCCTCCCCCGCGGCCACCGAGGGGACAGCGACAGCGGGGACCGGCCGGAGCCGCCGTGGTGGATGCAGCTCCCAGACTGGGGCGGACTGGGGCGGACTGGGGCGGTGAGATCCACCCGGCCCCCGGCGTGGATCTCCGGGGTTCGCTCCGGATTGGATCCCTCGAGTGTTTTTGGGGTGGATTTGGTGACTTTGGAGGCCGTGGAGCTCCGGGCGGAGCAGCCGGGTGGAACCGCGGGCACTCCGGGAGGACGAGGAGCAGGAGGGAGGGGACGGGCAGGCGACAGCGGCGCGTCCCACCAATAAACGCTGCAGGTGACATCCTCTGGGGACAGCGCTCCGCAGTTCCGGGCGTTTTTGGGGAGCGGCACCGGGGGGTCACCGGGCTGTGCCCGCATTGTCCCCCCCCGGCTGGGGACAGTGCCAGTGTCGCCGGCCGCGCCGCCCCCGCCGCTCCCGGTGCTCCCGGTGCTCCCGTCTGTCGCTGTCGCTTCGCCCACGCGGGCCCGGAGCCGCCCACGCGGGGAGGGCGCTGGGGGCGTGCGGGGAGGGGCTCGGGGAGGGTTTTATTTTG